CTAACAGCTTTTTTCATTTCAAAATATATTTTATTCCATTAATTTTTTTTCTTACTCAAAAACTCTTCACATTGACTCTACAATGATGCTGATACTTTATCGATGATAGTATAAGAACGTTTTGTGAAAAAACAAACATAGTATATAAATCCTACTGTCTTTCTTTCTGAATAACTCTCCATATCCCCGGAGAGTACATTTTATAACCATGACTAACAAGTGTCGATAAAGAGTATTATGTCATTCAGTATAATACAAAAGTCGATCAGTACTTCTGAGCATTATATCAATTATTATGTTCAATAAAGCTAGTCTAGTTTTGTCAGACTAATTTCTACGACAGTTTTAGTGATTTACTTTATTTCAATAGACTGACGTGTCTATTGTAACATCTCATCAAAATCATCTAAATATAGCGTACTGAATATTCTTTCATTTTAACAATGTTAATTAATGATTTTTTAACATTATCAAGTCACTTCATGTGATTCTCTATCAAAAAATAGAATGACGTGAAGTTTTTAAAGAATTAATAGGAAATTCTATCGTATATGATTTTAATTCAAACATAGAAGAAATCAAGGGAATAAATAAATAGACATTGAGTTTTATACTTTCTAGAAAGCTTTCAAAATTCGATTATTTGTCTTAACAAACATGTATTAACATTAATGCACATTTCGAACGGTCGATATACCAACTCGGTTTCTTGCTATTCGTCTTCGTATTGTTTTATTTATTTTTCTTAATAAGTCAGGATATGTATTTAAACATACAATTGGTAATAATAAGGGAATAAAATAAATAATGAATATCAATGTATCATATTGATCAATAAAAAATGTTGGCATAATAGTCAATCGAATGATTGCCGCTAAAGTATTTGGTAACCAAAAAGCTAAATAAACGGATGAAATGAGCCATAACTGAAATGTCATTTTACGATGACGACGCCAATTGACTACTTGATGATGTACGATTTTTTGATATATTACACGAATAATAAGAAATATATTTGCAAATGTAATCACACCAAGTGGACAGACAATATTAACAATAAACTCAATCATTATATAAATACCATTATCTGCCGTATAATAGCATGGTGCACCGCACATAGGTTGATCAAAATACCATGTATTAACACAAATTGGAGGAGTGACAATAAATACAAAATTCCATATTAATATCCATGCAAAGCATAAAAAAATTGGGATATAATGTGCCATCCACATTTTCCATCGAATTCTCATGATTGTTTGAGAATGAAAAATAAAGAAATGTCGTTCGATTGATGCCCATGCCATCAGACATAAACCAAGTGTATTTAGTGAGGATTCATACCAATTCCACCAAACACAATAGCCATCATTTATTACCCATATTTTACCTTGAGAATAGTAACTCATAGACATAGGTAAATCAGAAACTAAGGAAAGAAAATTAAGAATAAGAAGAATAAGCCATATGTGATTTTTTGGTTTCGAACGAACGGTACTATCGAGTGCAAAATATATAAATATAATGATTGAAACTAAAATTGCTGGAATTTGAAAAATAAGCAAAAGCATAAATTTGAATGTAGAATCCATATTTGCTTTAAAATCTCTAATGAAATATGCCGAACTTTGTTCTCTCTCTCTATATATATGTATGTAATGATGATAGATTATACGAGATATTCGTGAACATGCTTTTTACGCCCGGAAACATATAGACATAATTTTTATTAAGAAGTAGAAAGCGCTGTCGCCTTATAATAAAAGGAAATTTTTTTAACAGTGAAGATGGTAGTCTTGTCATTAAGAAAATGAATGTATGTTCTATTTAAAAATTACAGTAAAAACAATTTTATCAGCATGACATAACATCAAAGAGAAACAAACTGATTTCTTTATTTCTTTATTTCTAGTTTCATTTTCGTGATTTTCCATTATTTCTCATAATTTACTGTGATCTCGAGTATGGAAATCAGTTTATTCCGTCTGGGATATTTCCATACCTTTATACTACCGAATGAAGTAAAAGACGCTTGATAATGATAGAATTAAACTATCTTCTTGAAGGTAGACACAAGATTTGGATCGTGTTTCTCATTTTAATCCCTTGAGGGATTTCGCTAACAGCTTTTTCCATTTGAAGATATATCTTATTCCATTCATCTGTTTTCTTACTCAAAAACTCCACATTAACTCTGCAATGATACTGAAACTCTATTTACGAAATTATAAAAAGTTTTGACTGTCCATATCCAAGGAGACTATATTATAGATGTCAAAAAAATATATGATAGTTAAGATGTATTCATTAATGAGAGAGCAAAATAATATAGAATTTTACTTCATAACCATGATTAACATGCATCGATAAAGAGCATTATGTTACTCTGTATGATATAAACGTCAATCAGAACTTCTGAGCATTGTATTAATTCTTATATTCTATAAGACTACTTTGGTTTTGTCACATCATTTCCTATGATAGTTCCCTTGGCTTATTCTATTTCAATAGGTTAACGTGTCTATTTTAAAATCTCATCAAAATCATCTAAATATAGTATATTAAATATTATTTCGTTGTAACAATGATAATTAATGATTTTTCAACAATATCAAAATCTAGTGACGTGAACTTTCTAAAGAAATACTGAAATGTGTTATCGTATATGATTTTAATTTGAATATAGAAGAAATCAAGGGCATAAATAAGTAGACATTTAGTTTTATACTTTCTAGAAAGCTTTCAAAATAACACATTGTTTGAAAAAGAAAAGTCAAGATTTTATTATTTGTCTTGCCGAACATGTATTAAAATTAATGCACAGTTCGAACAGTCGATATACCAATCCGATTTCTTGCAATTCGTCTTCGTATTAATTCATTTATTTTTCTTAATAGTTCAGGATATGTATTCAAACATACAATTGGTAATAATAAGGGAATAAAATAAATAAAGAATACCATTGTATCATATTGATCAACGAAAAATGTTGGCATAATAGTCAATTGAATGATTGTCGACAAAGTCGATGGTAACCAAAAAGCTAAATAAACAGATGAAATAAGCCATAGTTGAAATGTCATTTTTCGATGACGACGCCAATTAACGACTTGATGATGTATAATTTTTTGATATATTACACGAATAATCAGAAATATATTTGCAAATGTAATCACACCAAGTGGAGCAACAACATTAACGATAAACTCAACCAGTGCATAATAACCATTATCTGCAGTGTAAAAGCATGGTGCACCACACTTATTTACAGTAAAATACCATGTATTAACACAAATTGGAGGAATAACAATAAATATAAAATGAAATGTTAATATCCATGCAAAACATAAGAAAATTGGAATATAATGTGCCATCCACATTTTCCATCGCACTCTCATGATTGTTTGAGAATGAAAAATAAAAAAGTGTCGTTCGATAGATGCCCAAGCCATTAGACATAAACCTAATGTATTTAGTGAGGATTCATACCAGTTCCACCAAACACAATAGCCATCATTTTTTACCCATATTTTACCTTGAGAATAATAACTCATAGACATAGGTAAATCAGAAACTAAGTACAGAAAGTTAAGAATAAGAAGAATAAGCCATATGTGATTTTTTGGTTTCGAACGAGCGTTACGATCAGATGCAAAATATATAAATATAATGATTGAAACTAAAATTGCTGGAATTTGAAAAATAAGCAGAAGTATAAATTTGAGTGTAGGATCCATATTTTTTTAAATTTCTAATGAGATATACCGAACTTTGTTCTGTCTCTATATATATATGTATGTAATGATGATAGATTATACAAGAGATTGGTGAACATGTTGTTTATACCCGGAAACATATAGAGACAAATCTTATTAAAAAAAAGAAAGCGCTGTCGCCTCATAAAAAAATATATATTTTTAACATTGACGATGTTCGTCTTCTCATTAAGAAAATGAATGTATGTTCTATTTAAAAACTATAGTGAAAACAGTTTTATCCCCATGATATCGTTAAAATCATTTTATCTATACTAAGTTAGTTATAAAATATTTCATATCTATAGATAACTATCATATAGAATAATAAAACTTTTATTTGTATCAAATGTTTTTTATTTTGAACTATGTTCTTTTCTACTAATACTCAGTACAAAAAAATATGATTAGTCTTTTTATCGCAATGATATACTTTCTATTTATTATTTTCATCGATGAAACGATTTATTATATTGCATTTTTGAGTTTAGATAACTAGGTTATTTCTTGATTAGTGACCTGTAAAATAAATGTATTTTTATTTCAAGGTCTTAAATATCCCTTGGGATGGATTGAACAGGACTTTTGCCTTAAGCTTTAATTAACAAAACGTTTCATTGATGAAAAATGAACAGTATAGATGTCATGACGATAGAAAGACCTAAATAAGAGTTTATTTTTAGAGTAGAACAATCGAGATCCATCCAGCAAGAAGAAGAAGACCACCATATGGTGTTACACGACGATATCGTGCATCATTGCGAATAGAATGAAAATACATTGGACCACAAAATAAAGTAATACCACCAATAAATAATGAACCAGTAATAAGTGGTCGAGAAACTAATGGTAAACCAAGTAAAGCAACTGAATGAAGTAAATGATATGTTTGTGCCATTTGAAATAACTAAATAAATAAATAAATAAATAATGAAAAATGATTTGATTAATATTTATACACATACACGTCGAAGTTCTTCTGGTGTATTATCTTTCATTGCATGAGCTCCATAAACACCTAAACAAATTGCCAATGTACCCGACAAACCAGCACAACGAACAAAATTTTTTGCTCCTGATGATACAATCGAACCATACATTAGAGTATTCGTTGGTGGTGATAGAGGAGGAGGAGGTGGTGGCGGAGGAGCAATTGGTTTGAGTCTATATCAAGAAAAAAAAACTATTCGTTTTTTTTTTGATAATAATCGATATAATACAAACCCAATTGTTTTAAAGACATAGTCGGTCCATCGACCAAGATCTCGAATAATTCCTAAGTCCATAGATAGATAGATATTCAGAAAGAACCGAGAAAAGACAAAAAGATAATCTGCAAAATAGTTTAAAGCAAAACACATGTGCCATTGATCGTTATATTTTAATAAATAGAACAAAAAAAAACTTAATTTTTTTTCTTTTCAATAAAAAAAACAAACAGAACACATAATGCATAAGTTCAAAATATCGTTATGACTGTTGGCGACGTCGAGAAGCTTTCCATTGTTCAATTGTTTGTTTTAACTCCAATTGAGGTATAACATCTTGCATACGTAATGGATTTCGATTAAATGGATCTGTCTGATCACTATTTAAAAGATAATATAGAATAATTTATCGGAATTTATTTCAATGCAAACCTAAGAAGATGTCGAGAAATAGTTGCACGATCGACTATTTGATGCGAACTTGGTAACATAACAGGATCAATCATAAGAGTACTTGTAATAGGATCAAGATATTCATCTGGTGCATCATCATATACAGCATCTTCTTCTTTTTGTAGTGCAGCAACTTCCTACAATAGAGAATATGCAAGAATACCTGTTCAAAAATACAATGATAAAACTTACTTTAATATGTTCACCTAGTTTTACAAATGCAGCAATTCTTTCTGGTGGATGTCGAATTCTTTCAAGTACTTCAGCTGCTTGTGGAAATAACTGTGCATTATATGACCTTAGCAAAATAATAAATAAAATATTTTTTTCTAATTTCTATTCTTACATTCCATCACTACAAACAGCAGCACAAAATTCATCACGTTGTGAAAAATTTAAATAAATATCCGTAACTTTTGCAACAAGTTTTTGTGGTTCAAATTGATATTCATGTAAATCACGTACTTTTAAATTACGTCGTTTTGGTCCAACCTATAATTATCAAAAAAAGTTATATTTAATTAGAAAATTTCGACCTAAAAAATAATAACGAACTAAATGTTGAAGAAAATAATTAAGCATTGACGCAAGTCGTTCACATATAGCTGGATTACAAAATATCGATTGAATATCTCGTGTTATCATATCAAGAATAGCTAATGTTTTAACACCCATTATATTTGTATAACGAGCTGTTTGACCAGTATGTCGAAATGTATTTTCAAGTTCTTGTCGTTGTTGATCCGGTAAATTATTCCATTCACCGCGATCCATTGCTTCTTGATTTCCTTTTAAACGAGCCATATGCTAAATAAACAAGAATAGATAAGATAAATTATTATGATTTGAATTCTTACAGATAATGCTTCATCTAATAAGAAATTAGCATCGTTCATAAGTAAATTAATGAAACGTAAGAAAAGTGGTGCTTCAGCATCATCAATATGTTCTTCAGCATAGGTTGCAAGTTTCTAAATAGAAAACAAGACGTCAAATAAAAATTTGAAATTTGAATTTCATAACTAACTTTCACTTGTTCACGATGTTTATCAAATTTCCAAAGATATTCAAGTATTTCATACATTGGACGACGATAATTGAATTTTTGTTCGAATGCTACAGCTTGTCCAGTTAATTCAATTGAAACAAATACATCAAGAAGAACACGTGGTAAATGTTCGATTAAAGGATGGTCAGTAAAAATAGCTTCAGCAAATGAACTAATAAACAAACGAAACAACATATGAAAATTTAATTGAATGAATTAACATACCTATTTAATGTTCGACCATTACCATGTTGTTTATTAGGTATAATAGCTTCTAATGCTTCAGCTAATGCAGCACGTAAATGTGGATTACGTAAACGATTTGCATCACCCATAAATACAAGAACGAAAGTAATATATTCATTAACATGTGGAAGGGACTTTAAAAATATAAAAGAAAATTTTATTTATAGAAAAAACTACGATGAATTACTTCGAATAATTGTACATTAAATCTACCAAGAAAAGTTAAATAATTTGTCATATTTTCCATAATAAATTCAGGAATATAACTTAATTGTCGATTTGGTTTTAACGGTAATGGTAATTTTTTAATCGGATGTATTTGTTCTTCATTTTCAGGTTGATCAGAAGATGCAAGATGAACAAGCCATGAACTTGTTGCAGTAAATAGAGCATTGGATAATTCCAACAAACGTGGTTCATTAAGTACAGCTTTTATATTCAGAAAAGCAGTAAGACCTAAAATTATAAAACTCTTTTTATATTCATTCTTATTTTACTAGTCATATGATAAAACGAAAGGATTACAGGACTAATTATCAAAGATATTTTGTCTGCAGGGTATTTTAAACGTCTACTCATGTTTAGGTATATGACAACTCAAGCTCAACAGCTCGCATGAGCTGAATCGAAGAACTGGGTCCCCAGTTCATTTTATTCATATGTTGATCATTATATTACATACAAACGTTTGGAAAGAATTACTTTAAGCTTCTATTAATAACTTCATTGTCAAAAATAATCGTTAAACGTGAATAGTTAGATATTATTCACGTTTGTATGTAATATAATGATTAACATATGCATAAAATGAGCTGGTCACCAGCTACAGCTCAAATGAACAAGAACTGTGCAAACAGTTCCGATTCATTGAACGGAACTGGAGTTGTCACATACCTACTCATGTTTTCTTCTCTCGACAACATAAATATGTCGCTTAGAACTCCTGATGCGCCGTAAGAATCATTTAGAAATTGAAGGATTATAAATGTTGTCGAAAAAATTTCACTCATGTTCATTAATACCTGAATCCAAATTCAAAGGATTCCTAGGGCATCTTCGTGACCTTTTATGTATATTAAGAATATCTCATGTCATATGATTAATACTGCTCAGATCGAACGACAAAAATAGACGAAACTATGGGCATGAATCTTTTGTTTTGGGATCGAATAAAACTATAACGACTAAACTCTATCATGTTGATAAGTAGTAAGAGAAACATTTTTTTATCAATTAAAAATCTTACCTTTTTCCATAGCATCTTCTAGTCTTTGTATACTTTCATGATTAGTTCCATGTAATCTAGTTACATCATTATAAGCAGATTGAACATGTGATAATTCTTCGTTAATCTAAATTGATATATATGTTTATTTAATTTTCAAAAGAAATAAATTTACTTTTAATAACATTCGATGAAGTCTTTGTACTCCACATGTATAACTAAGATGTGACATAAAAAAGATTTCGGTTATAAAATTAAATGTTATTTTATTATTTTTATCAACAAGATTTTCTTCATCACGAACAATGACTGGTGTATCTTTATGAAGATCTATAAGAGAAAAATAGAGATTTTTCGATAGAAAAAGTAAAAACTATACCTTTTAAATGAACATTTTCATTTTGACTAATTGCGTAGATTGGATTAATTTTTAATAATTTTTGTGAATAAGGTTCAGCAAATGGTCGTGCAAGATTAAGTAGAATAAGATTTAAATTTAATAAAAATCCATCACTAGCATACATATAAGCAGTCATTGGATTATGAGATGACCATTCTTTATTCTTGCCTAAATCAAATAAACATTTTATTTTATCAAAATTAAATAACTTAATTTACCTCGATTTTCAATTAAACAATCACCAATCCATTGTAATACATCACTACGTACATCAGCATTTTTAACAAAAGCTAAGAATAATTGAGATAAATTTTCTTGATATGTTCGCAGTGGCTTAAAGAAAAACAAAATCACAATAAGAATTAGTTTCTACTAAGATTTTAATTTATTGACAAGGGTGTGGATATTGTATTCTTCACTCGTCTATGTCTACACCTACACCCTGTAATCAAGAATCCATTGAAAACAGAGTTTGAGTTATTAAATATCGTTTTTAGTCTAGACTCATTCAAATCTACATCAGTATTGTATAAAACATTTAGTTTTTACCTGCCATATTGTTCCAGATGTTATTTCCACATCACGTTCACTCATAACTTTTGGTTTTTCAAAAAATAGATAAGGTTTTCCAGGTAGCGATGGTAAACATGATTTGGACAGAAGACTACCAACTAATGTATCTTCAAATGCTCGACCACCATCGCCTCCTGATGGTACAAGAGGATTTCGTATAGGACGATTAGTTGCTGTTTTTGGATGAGATAATCGAAAAATAATCTAACAAAAAAAATCCTATATATTTCACATAATCATTTTTTTATATAAAACTACATACTCGTACTAATAATGGCCATTTAGCTAACTGAGTTAATATTCCAATATATGTCATAAGTTCTGTAGAAAAATAATCAAATGGATGAATAGCTTTGTACATATGACGAAAGACAGAATTATAAAGACTTTCAATTTCATCAGTTGATGATGATATAAGATCAGTATTAATACAATCTGTAAATTCACAAATAACTTGATTCTCTAAATTTTTCAAAAAAATAAAATAAAAGAATTTCTTATAAATAAATTCAATCTACCTTGACCATCAATTAATAATTCTAACCATTGTTTAGATAAATCTTGTCCATCATAAAGATCTGGTAAACTAATCGCTGTTTTACTATGATCAATAAATAATTTTTTTATATCATCAAGGACTAATTTGAAATGATCCTAGCAGAAAACAGAAAAGAAAGATATTTGAAATTTTAATTAAACAAAAAAATACTTACACGTTGTCGAAGTAATCTTTGATAACAACCAGATAAATAATGTAAACAACGATTTTCAGTAATAGTATTGTCATTAGTTTTATTTGATGATTTTTTTGTTTGTGATGTTGATAAATAACTTGAAGGTTCTGTCATACGAAGACGTTCAAATAAAGCTTGATCAATAAGATTTTTATCCCATGTTTCAGGTAATCCAACAGCTAATTCATCTAAATGAATAACTGATGATGAAGGTTGTTCATTAACTGTACATAAAAGAACATATTCAAGTATATCTTTATAAAGATTTGAAGATAATGTTGAATCATTTGTAATTGAAACAGGTTTTGAAGATGATGTTGAATATGGTGTTGATGGTGAATCCGATAATATTAAAAATGGATTTGACATTGTTAGTTATGATTGAAATACAAGATCAAGAAATGAATGATGATGATGATGACGATGAGTTAAAACAGAACAAGCGTTTTGATTCGTTTAATACATCTATCTATTATAAAATATATTCATATATTAGAAAGATGTCACTAGAATGTAAGGATAAAATATGACATATTTATTAGGATATAATATCGCCCATTAATATATACTTATTAAATTGATTGATTCTTTTTTTTCACCCTGGTTTTGATATACATACATTATTACCTTCAGACGAAGAATAACAGACTTGTCAATAAAGACATTTTGCATTCGAGCATGACTTAGATAAAAAAAAGTAATCAGACGAATAGATAAGAATGTATAGTATTCATAGACATCAAATAGAATCAACGAACGACAGCCTTCATTAGAAAATTATTGACCTAAAAAAATATTTTATTATCTTCTTCTTTTCCTTCTCAGTGCATATATTATCACACATAAATTTCAAGTACTAACATTTTTTTTGTACGAAATTATTTGTTTATGAGAATAGTTATCTATTTCTCATATTATTATTATTATTTTGTTTTCCATCAATGCATACATCCCATTCAAACAAGAAAAAATCTTTGTGTAAAACTTGCAGCAAATCACCAAGTATTTTCTTTTGTCAGGGATGTCACAAAGATTTTTGTAATGATCATGCCAAAGAACATCGACAAGAATTATCAAAACAATTGGATAATATTATTCAAGAACATGATAATCTTCAACAAAATCTCTTTGAATCTATGGACAAATCACGTACTTATCCATTTATGAAAGATATTGATCAATGGGAAACAGAATCGATTGAAAAAATTCGTCAAATTGCTGATGATATTCGAGCAAAAGTATTAGATATTGTCGATAATCGTACTGTTCGTATAACAAAAGGCTTAAAAAATCTTACCAAAGACTTAACTAAAGCACGTTTTGAAAACAATTTTATTGAATATGATTTAAAAGATTGGATGGATAAACTTAACAAATGGAATAAATATTTAAATTCAATGCCATCCATTAGCATTGTTCATGATGAAAAAGATACAATATCTATACAAAAAATTAATATAAACATGGAAAGAAATGAATTTTTTCATCGTGTTGCTGGCAATATAAAAATTGAAGAACATGGTCAAGTTATTATTGCGAATTCAAATGATCTTTCAACAGTACGTTGTGTAGGTGAATATTCATCAGGACAACATAAATTTCGTTTTAAAATTGAACAATTCAGTACTAATAATTGGATTTGTTTTGGTATTGTTTCAAAAGATGCACCAATACAAGAAACATCATATCTTGTTCTGACAAGTTTTGGTTGGATTGCAAATGGTTGGATATTACTTGATGGAACTAGTCAACCAGGAGATAATAAAATTAAAAGTGATATTATACAAGATGATATAGTTGAATTATTTGTTGACTGTGATCAACGAATACTTCGTTTAATTAATGAACGAACCAAAATTCAACAACAGTTAGATATAAACATAGAGACATGTCCATTTCCATGGCAGCTTCATGTAGGTCTTCGATATCAAAATGATCGAGTACGATATCTAAAATCATAGTTAATTTACTTTTAAATTATATATTTTTTCCTTTATAATTGACAAATACTATAAATCTTGAGGGTGTGATGCACCCCATCCAAACCCCCACTCTTAAGATGAAACTATAGTATTCAGATCCATTGTTCTATGATATGTATAAGAAAAACATGACATCGATTTTATTTTCCTTTTAATTGAGAGAATAAACAATTCTGTGAAGATAACTTTATGTTTTAGTACAAATAAATAAGTAGCGAAGTTGTTATATTGCATGTCAATTAAATCTTTATTATAAACAACTGAGACGAAGAAAGAAAAAAAAAGCTCTATATTCGCAGTATACAAAATAATAGAAATTTTTAATAATATAACTGAGGTGTGCCAAATATTCTCCATGTTGTTGAAGATGGGTGTGATTGCTGTTGATTATTCGTTGATTTAATTAGAGACTGTTGTGATTTCGATATATTAGAAGTAAATTCAATAGGTCGACGATACTGTTCGATTACTGGTAGATGAATATTATTTGAATTTTTTTGTGAAAGATGTGGATTAGAACTAAATATGAAGATTAATTATTTTTAGAGAAAAATAAATCGATGAACATACTTATTTTGATTAAATACTTGAGAATATATTCGAGGAGTATATTGTGCTATTATATCAACAATGAAAATAATTCAATTCAATAGAAAATTTTAACATACTTCTATCTGTCTGTTGTGGTAAGAATGAAACTGGTTGACGATTATCTTTTATCGATGAATTTCTATAAAGTCCATTCTGTTGTGTCGTAGATAATTGTTGATGATTTTCATTTGTAAATGTTCTTATACTTGGATTGTTCTCCATATTAATATGTTCAGTAAACGATCTATGTTGTTGTTGTTGTCTTTCTGATGGTAATAACCATGATGTTAATGTTTGATTTTGTTTTATAGTTGATGGTTTTCGATTGTCAACAACTAAAAATAACAAAAAAAACATACAATTAGAAGTTTTTTTTTGTTTCATACTAGGAGATTGATTGAAGAATCCTTCATAAACAACAAAATTATTAACTTGATGAATTGGTGAAGAAAGATTATAATGTTTATGAAGAAATGCTAAGCATTTATTCGATGGACGATCAATAGCTAATTCAACGGGAGTACATTTTTCGAACTTAATTAAATAAGAAAGCAATAAATATCAAAACTAAAGAAAAATTTTGATGTTATTTACATTAAGCATTGTTTCAAATAATTTTTTACCATAACCTAATCTTTGTTTACTTTCATGAACATAAAAATCTAATACACATAATGGAGTTCGTTCATATACTTGACCATTTGAATCATAAATATATAGATGTTTCGAACCAACTTTCAGTAGACCAACTACAGAACCTAAATTTCTATAAAGAAAATATATACATATTTATTTGAATTATCTATTAGAGAAAAAATTCTAACTTGTTATCATCGACTTTTTTAATAATATATAAATGATGATCAGACATACGAAATTTACGTGCTGTTGTTACTGCACCATGTAATCCTTGTGCCTGATTGATAAAAAACAATGAAATATATTGTAAAATTCAAAAAATATAGCATACTTTATAGGAAGCATCACCGATAGCATCAATAATAGATGTCAGCTTTTCAGGCGCACTATATAAAATGATATAAAAAAAAATTGAAATAATAATTCGACACCTACACTATTCTAGCTGGTTGTTCTGGATTAAGAATTCGATAATCTCCATTGAGTATTGTTGTTTCAAAAGGTAAAACATGATTAACATCAAATGGGAATTCCATCGTGAGTTTCTTCCTTTCCTAGTGTTCTCCTATAGCTTACTTATAACCATTATCCTTGTCATTCCTCCAGACAACAGCCTCTTTTTTTGTTCCAATGAAATAAAAGCTTTATCAATTATACAAGATGTATTTTATTTATTTTTCTCATTTAATAAGAATATAAGTTGTATTAAACTTTATGAAAAAATATGCTTATATTATAAGCTTATCAGAACATATGAAAGAATCCATAGTTTACAAAAAAATAATATTTGACAGTTTACAAGCATTCTGCATGCATGCATTCTTCTTCTTCTGCTTCTTCATTTTAGCAAGTATTTATTGAAGGTAACAATCGTTTCGTATTTGTAGGATAAATTTCAGTATTTTCTATTTCATCGACTGAACTAGCAGTTGGTTTTAATAAATCGAACATAAACGTATCCGAAAAATACTAAAATATCGTAGAAATATTTAAAATATTTTTTTTTAAATAAATAACCTACTGGATTAATTCCATCTTCATCAGAAGTTGTATTCATAGTCGATGACATTGTATTATTGACAAGTGTAGATTCCTAAATAAGAATATAAAAACATTTAAAAGTTTTATCAACTTAATCTATGAGATTCTACTATAAATATACGACAACAGTTGTCAGACGCACGCTAGGAGTATTCCATAGTCGAGAGAATGAGTCATAAGAATATTTTTTATGTTTATTATTAAGGAAAATTTGCGTTGGAGTCCTAAGTCCAATAATATTAAGATGCTTTGTATGACATAGATACAAAATCTTTGGACAACTTTAACGATTCCTCAGAGATTTGTATCAAAGGTGACAGAGTCGACGAAGAAAAGAAAAAAAACGTGATGTTCGCACAGACGTTAATGAAATTTCTAAAGAATCTCGATTAGATTGTCCAATGAAAATTAAATAACTTGCCGATAGGATGTTTTGTAAGCCATTTTTTGACTGATGCGTTTGATTTTTTATCGATGTATCTTTAATTGAAACGAGACCAGATTCTATAGCTTGTGTTAATAAATAACATTTTCCTGTTTTTTTCTGTTTAATAAATCCATCTGATGTTAATTCGCATTCATCATTAATATTTATTGTATTACGAAATTCACTTAAACTATTAATAATATTTGTTAATGATGAAAATAAATTTTCATATTCAAAATCTCGTTTTTCATTTATAGAAATAATTGGTTTTGGTTGAGTGACATTCGTTTGTAAATCTCCGATAATTAATCCACGATAAAATGCTTCATGTATTTCCATAGATAGATTTAAATTTGTATATAGAAATAATTCTAGATTAAGATAACCCTTATCGATTGCTTGTTGACATGAAATCATACATTGTTGAATATTATCATACACTTGATGAATAGTTAGATTCGATATAATTGAATATTGTTTTGAACGATATTCAATTACAATTCGATCATTTAATACGAATTTAATAAAACCTTTTCTTGCTGCGATATGCTAAAATAGAAAAATTCGAATAAAAATAAATAATTAGTTTACTAAACATACTAATGGAATTAATCCACCATAACTAAAAATAAAAAGAATTTTATAAGTTTCACAAAGAAGTATAAATATTTGTTTTACCAGTTTCGATAGTATCCATTCACAATAATTCCCAATTCTTTTGCATATTGTTCATCGATAAATTCTTGATTGAATGGATTAAGTACATTTTTTATTTGTAATTCTTCTAATTTATTATTATTAATTTTAATTGATTTTTCTGTATTATCAAATAGATTATTCATTGTTAAGATAAAAACAATATACAAATAATAGTGTTCTGTATTTTTGCGAATTAATTTTATTGGTTTATGAACGTTTATTGGATTAGTGGCGTCATCTAAGACGTGTACTTTTTGAATCAAACGAACAATTCATTCCCGCCATTCGTATCAATATTATATTTATTTAATCATGACTCTTAATTATAATGCTATTCCATTTGAAATGAATCAATATCAACCATATATGAATTCAAATTATGGATATGATCATTATCAACGGCAAAGTGTAAGAAAAATAAAAATAAAAATGAATACTTTATTATAATTATAATTATTTTTTTTTTGTTTCTTATATTTATAGAATGATGGAATTATATTGACAACACCAAAACCAGATTGGAATCAATTGATTCTATCAAATTTTGAAAAGAATTTTTACATAGAATCACCCATTGTTCAACATCGATCTATGGTAAATATTGATAAAAGATAAAAAAAAAAATATTTCGAAATTAATCAAAAGAAGTCAATGAGTTTTTAGTATGTATATGAAACTTAAATTGCTGTTTCGTTGATTGTTTTTTAATTTTATGTTATCGCTCAATACAAAAGATCTTACAAAAAAAATTTTTTTTTTTGATTGATTGAATTTTACTACCAATTATATCTCGTTCATATTCATATTTATTCTAGGAAGATATCCAACAATTTTTATCAAATCATCAAATAACTATTGATGGTAATGCACCAAGACCAGTATGTAATTTTAATGAAATAAATTTTCCAGGTAAATTACGTTTTTTTTTCTTTGTTGTTAAAGTAAACACTTTTGTAATTAAATTAGATCCAGTGATGGAAACAATTATTCAATGTGGTTTTCAAAAGCCAACAGTTATTCAATCATGTTCATGGCCAATATTATTATCTGGTCATGATTTAATTGGTATTGCATCAACTGGTTCAGGAAAAACATTAGCATTTATTTTACCAGCAATAATTCATGCTAGTCATCAAGAATTTGTTAAACCCGGTGATGGTCCTATTGTTCTTGTTATGGCTCCAACACGTGAATTAGTACAACAAATTTATACAGTTGCACATCAATTTGGAAGATTAGCACAATGTCGAACAACAGTTATATTTGGTGGAGCGGCAAAAGAACCACAACGAAATTCATTATTAGCTGGTTAATAGAAAATTATTTTCAATTAAAAGAAGAATAACTTTTTTTTCTAATTTTAATAGGTGTTGAAGTAGTAATTGGTACACCAGGCCGTCTATTAGATTTTATTGAAGAAGGTGTTTTAAAACTTGACCGAATAACATATCTTGTATTAGATGAAGCTGATCGGTTTGTCAAAAAACAAAAATTGAATTATTTTTTTTTAATATTTATATATTCTATTTAGTATGCTTGATATGGGTTTCGAGCCACAAATTCGTCAGATTTGTGAACGTATTCGTGTATGATAGATTTTTTTGATTTTTCTAGAAATAAATAATTTTTTCTATATATAGTCAGATCGTCAAACATCTATGTTTAGTGCAACATGGCCAAAAGAAGTTCGTCAATTAGCAAATAAATTTTTGTCAACTAATCGTATACATATAACAATTGGAAATGTAAGTTTAGCAGCAAATCCAAGTATTTGTCAAATAATTGAAGTTTGTACAGAATCACAAAAAGAAAATCGGTTTGTTTAATTTAACGAAAAAAATTAGAAACAACATGACTTTTTTTTATTAAACTAGATTTTTACAATTACTTCGTGAAGTAATGGCATTACGAGATGCTAAAACACTTGTTTTTTGTCAAACAAAAAAACGTGTTGATGAAATTTATCGTACGACGAAACAACTGGGTTTTCCTGTAGTAAGTTAAAGTTATTTTGGAAAATTACGATATTAATAAAATAAATATAGCTTTGTATTCATGGTGATAAACAACAATCACAACGTGATTTTACAATGGGTGAATTCCGTCGTCGACGTAAGATTATTTTAATTGCAACAGATGTTGCTGCTCGTGGTCTTGATATTCAAGATATTCAATTTGTTATTAATATTGATGTAAGAGAATTTAATAAAAATATTTCATTGTTCGTTCATTAATTCGAAATAGTTTCCAAATCAAACTGAAGATTATGTACATCGTATTGGTCGAACAGCACGAAGTACTGAATCTGTTGGAACATCGTATGTTTAATATTTTCCTTTTTTTGATAAAAACAAAAACGGTTAATCTTAATTAGATATACATTTTTTACATCTGACAATGCTAAACAAGCACCAAGTTTAGTTCGAGTTTTACAAGAAGCTGGACAAAAAGTTAATCAAGATTTAATGGACATAGCTGAAGATCAACTATATACATCGGGTTCTAAACATGGTAAATAGAAGAATTTTGTTTTATCTTCCTATTCGTAATATTTAGGATCCAAAAATCGAATATATAATAATAATCAACAACGAATACCACTTCAACAACATCAACAACCTCAACAACAACAACAGCAACAACAGCAACAACCAACAAATACTCTTCAGTCCTATCGTAAATATCTTATATTAATTTTATATTGAAATTTATCCAAATCTATTTCTCTAGCAATCTATCAACCAGTTCAATATATTCCGTCATTTACACAACCAGTAAACTATATTCCATCTCTTATTTATAATTAGTTACTTTTAAAACAGTGAATGATGAAAAAAATAAAAACATTCAGATTAAAAAACTAAAAAAAGAAAAAGGAAAAACTATATATTATATAAATAGGAAAATGAAAAGCAGATGTTTGTTTGTTTTTTTTGTTTGTCTATTTAATGATTTTTTTTTGTATTCGTTTGTGTGATTTTTTATTCATTCTCTGATATATACTTATATTCAAACTATATTAACATGTGTGAAATAAAACAGAAACTGATACAATGAAAGAAAATTTTCCTTTGTTTCGAAAAATACCGACTTACCCAATCGGCGAAATTATCATAAAAAATTCTCTTCTCTCTCTCTAATTAAAATCTTTATTAATGTTTTTAAAAAAAAAGAATGCTAAACAATACATATATCTACAAAAAAACTGAAATTATATTCCTGCCATGCCAAAATCACTATTAACTAAAAAAAAGAATTTTAAAAAAACCCAATAGATTTTTATACAAATTAGTTTACCTTGATATTCAAGTATATTATTTACTGGATAACAAGTTGTTGATGTTGATGATGGTCGAAACCATTGTTCATAACCAATATTTGTTCGAACATTTCTATGTGCAGTTGTTCCAGTAATTAATGTACGACGATTATTAACAAATCGAAGTGTATTAGTAAAAAGTGTTTGTAAATAAGTACTTAAAATTTGTTGATATCGATTAAATATAATCCATGTTACACTTTCAAAACATCCGGGCCATGTTAGACTACCTAATTAAAATACAATTTGTAAGAAATAAAGTAAATATTTATTAATGTAACCTTCATAAGTCATATATTCAGATGAAAAAGCTAATAATTCTTTTAAATCAAGTTTATATAATTGAATATCTGATGGTCGACGAGTATTATTTAATAATTCAGCTTGTTGTAAAACATAACGTAATTGTGCTGTAGCATCACCACCCAACTTAAATAAAATAAATAGATTTTTTGATTATAGTTTTTTTCTTACTTACCATCAACATACTAGATAATATGGCAATTCCTTTCGGTGATGTTTGAGCTTGAGCATAATCTTTATAAAGATCAATATTATATGCAACAAGTTGAATCTAAACAAGAGAAATTTGAATTAATTAAATATGAATTATAACATACTTCTCCATGAAATGATCGATTATCAATTTGATGTTCACTTCCTTTTGGTATTTCATCACCTATAGTCGGTGGTGATAAACGAATATAAATTTCTACAGGACGATATTTATATTGAAGTGGTCCACCACTAATATCAATATTTGAATTTGAATCTAATGGAAGAATTATATAAAGATTACGTCCGTCATTACGAAGAATTCCACGAATCTATCCATAAACAAAAAAAAAAAGAATTCTTTTCTAAGAAAAAAAAAGATTGACAAACATTTTCACTATTATTGATATGAATTGGTGTTAATTGATAATCAAAAATTAAATGACGACTTTCAATATTAATTGGTGATTGAAAACGGCCAGCATCACAAAGTGGATAATAAAAACCCCATGATGCAGGACCGCTAACACCATCCGAATAATCCCACCAATTCCATATTTCACGACGAGCAAATGAAGCAGCATGATCAACATCAATATCTATTTAATCATTAATATTTTCTATTTGAACAAATAGATATGAATAGAAATATTTACCTTCACTAATAACTATTATATATTGTTTAATAATGATAAATAGTAACAAGTATTTCGATAACATTTTTTATTAATGCTCGTCACTGTGTTTAGTCAAATCAAACTGATCTATGATCGTGTTGTTCACACATCTTCATTTCAATTAGCATAGGCAATGAGCGGGACTGTATCGTTGCCATCTTCCTATCATATTCTATTCTCTTATCATGCATCATGTTATTCTTTCCTTTTTCTTGAATTCTAACACTATAAATTCCTCGTCAATTTATGAACTGTCTCTCACACTCTTTACACAAATTGTAAACTGACATTTTATGCCTTTCGGCTATTCTAATTGAATCCATGACCGAGACGATGATGCTCATATAGTGTGTGTATTGACACGACTGATTGATACAGTTGTGTTTGACGTGCATGCTTTGATCTTCTATCAACTTTTCTTTTCTCTTTCTGTCAATGATAATTAGTTCTATAAACTTGTCTAGAAGTATGTTAGAATTTTAACTAACTCCTTCTTTTTCTATGGCATCATATTACCATTTATGGTACAATTTTGTAAATGATACCACGTCTTTTTTTATTGATGAATTAATCTGATTAAGTCATGTTATTCTTTTTTTTTATTGTTCTCTGATGTTAATGAGTGGAAAATTGATGTGCAAATCGAATAAATATATATGATAGCAAAGAAAGAATTTAAATGGAATTCTATGGTTTTATGTGTTAATTAGAACATAAATTAATTCGTTTCACCAACAGTATTTAATCGATGACCAATCAATAGCAAGTGTATCTTTTTTTTTTCTTTTCTCTCTCTCTTTTTCTTTCATGAATATTGATGATATGAATGCCATTGGCGATCATTATTCAAATGATATTTAATTGTAAACGTTTTTTTTCTCGGTTAGTTGTTGCGCCATATCAAAATTAAGAAATGAAAACCGATGAATAATCTTCAATCAAGTACATAAATGTAATTTTTGCAAATATATCTTTATTATTAAAGCAAAAAACTAGAATGTTTGTCAATGGTTGTTGAATTTATAATTCATCATCAATGTACTGTGACATGTTTCTTGATTAACTTGATTCTGATGAAGACTAAGCGTAGCCAATGTCTATGAAAAAAAGAATAGAATAATTGTACTGTATTTTGTCGAAGAGCTGCAATAAGTTGTTGGGTACCATCATTATCAATTCGATTCTGAGAAAGGTAATGAGAAATAAGTAATGTTAATGTTTATAAGAATATATTAGTAGGAAGAAACTAATAGATTGAATAAATAGTATCATTCTATTATTTAAAAGAGCACTAGAAAGATCCTGTGCTCCCTGATCACCAGTTTGATTTTCATGTAAGCGAAGTGTAGTAGCAATCTATAAGTTGAAAAGTTAAAGATATAACTAGTAAAATAAAAGAATTTTTTATTTACAGTATTATTCTGTAAGCTATCAACTAGGAATTTGATATCCAAAATCCCATTCTTGTGGCGTTTTATTATCACTAATTAATTTTCAAGTTGGAAATTATGAAATATTGTATGTTTTGGAGATTCGACAACCTTTCCACATTTTATAATGTTACTTCTAATATTCCTTAATTTATCAATTCCTTCTACACTATATGCATGTTGCGTTGTTATTTTTAATCCATTTAATAATCGATTTATATAAATAGAAACCCCTTGTCTAGCACGTAATAATTTTATTTGATCGTTACTAGATAAAAGTATTTCTAATTCATTTTGTAAACGAATTTGAAAATCTTCCATATTTTTAACTTCATTAGTTATCGATGCTCAGCAATAGCTTTTTCTAAAAAGTTCGTTACACTAGCAATTTCATCTTTATTCGATTTATGGTCATGTTTAACCTTAGGTAATAAATTATCTACTTCATTGATTTTCTCATTTAATGTTGATTCAATCAAAGATAAATCATTATTTACCTAAATAATAAGTTATAGGATAAACTTTTGTTTCTAATTCTTTAGCTGTTTTATCCATTGTAATATATGGATGATCTTTATGTTTATTTAATAAACAGATGTATTACATTTTTGACATCAATATTGCGATGTTGTAGAATGACAATGCGAACATTATATTAAACCAGAAGATGATGTTATACAAAATAAAATAACGATATAGATCAAGTAAAATCATTACCTAAGAAATCGATTACATCGCTCATTTTTGATTTACTGATAATGTATCAATAAAATTTTGTTTTACTTTAGTACCATTGTTTCTAGGACATTCAAAATAATCGTTATGGTTCGTAATATTTCTTTTAATATAACGTAGACAATAAGTAACATTTAGTTAAGTCTTGTGTCGACCTCATAATATTTGATAATAATTTAAACAATAAATCGACGTATATTATTTAGAAAAAATGTAAAATAAAGCTAAAAAAAGTTGTTTTATCATAACTTTAGTCTACATCTTTATATTTTCCCCGAGCTTATTATCTCTATTTAATGATTTGCAAAAATAATTTCTTTGATGATGTTTTTCTAGCAATGAAAATATTGTATTTTTTTATTATTTATATGAAATGGGAACTTTGATAAAAATACGATCAATAGTCAATAACAAAAAAAATGTCCTTAATAAAACACACAGAGAAGCATTACATTTCCTAAATCAATATTTGAATATTTTACAAAATAACTGTACTCATCATTAATATCAATGTATCTGACATATTGCCTAATCTCTTAAATGATATAATTGAACTAAGTAATTGTTGATACATTTTTTTTTATTACTATAGTTTTCCTGGTCGTAGTTATATGTTCATCAGTTTGATCTGTTAAAGATTGATATTCTTCCATCGAAGGTGCTTTATAAAGATCTTCATTAGCATTAACATCTAATTTAATATGAGTAACAGTTGATCTTTTTTGTATTTCAACAAAACGTATCATTGGATCAATTTGTGCAAAACCATCTGTATCAAGACGAACAGTTGACCATGTTAAAAGATTAAAACGTGCATTATTTCGTTGACCACGTGGATGAGGTAATGCTAAAACACTCAAGAAAATATAGAGGATAAAAAAAAGTAAATATTTTTTGTACCAGCATAAATAGCTAAACCATCACTTGGTCGTACAACACATATACGTCTTTGTATGAATCTTAATGATAAATCATCATCTTCACCACCCCATCCCCAATATAAATTTGAAAAACCATTCACTTTTTTATATAAATCCATTGTTAATAAAAGAACACCACCGATTAAAAATTCATAGTAACGTGTATAACCACGTTTACTACCTACTTGTTGAACTCGTATCGTTGTATGTTTTGGATGTATAGGTTCACATGTATAAAAATTTCCATCGTTTTCAGGTATTAAATCAACATCATGTAATATGAGACATGTAATATTTAATGATTCTTGATTTTGAATATAACGAACACCAGCATTAAATAAACGACCTTTATTAAATCGATGACCAAGTGGATGAACCTTTTGAACATATACAACAAAAACAACTAATTATTTTTCTTCTAATTGTATACATACTTGTTCAATAAGTAAAATTGTATAGGTAAGAAGTTGTCGTCGAGCAAATGCATGTATATTAAAAATAAATGTTTTTGCATTAAAATCTCGACCTTGTAATGGTATTAATATAGCTGTTCGTTGTGCCGATATAACACCAACAGGATGCCACATGTCGTTTATATATATATAGGGTACATTTTCAAATGAAATATTTGAAGCAAATGATGTTCGTAGAATTTTCGTTTGATTTTTTTTTGTTACTAAAATTTTTGTATAGAAATTTTCTATATCATTAAATGTTATATTAGAATATGGTACAATATATGGAAATTTTCCACGTAAATATTGCGAATGTCTTGGATGAAGTTTGGATGGATTTTTTTTTGGTTCATCAAGTTTATATGAATGACAAGAAATTGATGTACGCATAGCAAATTCTTGATATGGAATCAATAGATGATATGGTGGAATTGTTGATTGATGAAGTAAAGAATTTCTTGCTAATTCATCACAATTGTTTGGTGTATGATAAATAAATGAAATAATACTTTCTTGATTTATATGAAATGTTGTTATAAATGTAATAAAACATATTAATAAAACCAAGAAAATTATGGGTGTTAGAGAATTTCGACGCCAATAAATTTTACGCATATCTGAAAGAAAAAAATAACGAATCAATATATTCACAGTCTCTCTTACGAAATATAGGACAGAAGTTAAATATCGATATGTATGTATGACTGATTTTGATAATTTCTACAGTAAGAAATTGATATTCTTTCATTCGGAAGAATTAAAGTATACTCATTCTTTAAGTTCAAGTAAACGAAAAAAAAACAGACATATACTAGTGGATATAGATGAGAGGAGAATAGAAGTATATAAGAATCCATTGAAATCATAATGAAAACAGCTTGATGAAAGAAAAGAAGAAGAAAAAAAGAAAAAGAAATTCTGTTTATTTTATACGAATACAGAAGTATGTATATACACTATTGTACTATTGACGAGCATCAACTGAATGGAATTGAAAAGCAAGGTCATATAATTGATCGTATATGTCATTATGTGAACTCTATGCCCGACATAAATCAAACTGTGATAAAAGCTTGACAATTTCGCATATGTATGAATAGAAATCGATTGCATTATGAAAAATGGCAGTGAAAAAAATATTTTCGATAGTCGTACTTAATGACTGAAAAAACATAGGAATATGGGATTTTCTTATCCAATTGATTTTATTATACCTTCTCTACTACAAATGCTACGTTTTATATTAATTGATAGTTTCATTGTCGATATATCAATTTAATACATCTTTTTCTTATTTTTCACCTTCAAAAAAAATTGTATGTGTTTATTTAAGTATAGAGCTTCTCGCTTTTGTTTTTTTAATCAAAAAACCTATTTCATTTTTACACTATGACATAATGCATTGAAGTATTCTTCACGATCAATTGAATCTTTCATATTAATAATAATAAAAGTTTTCTCTCATTGAACTTTACTAAAACTATAAGTTCTTTTAATAATAATTGAAATACATTTCTAATATTCATCTCGCTGACCTTCGATTCTATATAACAAGTTCTAATACTCAACCACTTTCTTTCATTGCACTTTGATAGTTTTCTACAGCCCGTATGCTTAATAAGAAATCTTTCACATCTAAATAAACGATATGTCTAATCAATCAAGCGTCCTAAAAGCAGAAAAAAAACATATAACTTGTATTCATTTTTCAAGGTAAAGTCACGAAAAAAGTAATTCTCACTTATGAATAGTGATGATACTATAATTATCAAAGTCTAGTTGACTTTGAATGTCATACGAATGTCATATGCATATTATTAATTTAATGTTTTGATAAACTATGAAGTATTAACTCTTTGAAGAAGAAAAGAGATGAATTTTCAAGAAATGCAGATATTATTCATAAGACATTCGTTATTTGTATAAATAATATCTCTACCAAACGATATAACTATTAGTGATCAATTGTTAAATATTATTGGTACAAATATTGATAAATTTGATGTTATATATAGATAAGCATAATAAAAAGCTGTACTTTTTTTGTTAATTTTTACTTAAACTATGAACAAAATATGTTATTCTCTTTCTTTATTTTTTTTTCTTGTCAGATATCATCAGTTACGGTCACGTTAATGACCTAGATAATTATGATCATATACATTGTCAACATTAGTTATGGTGAGGCGTGATGGTGACCAATTTACATATTTTTAATAGTAAAGTATGACTCTAATGTTCACACCCTCATTCACATCTATCTTCGCTATTTTCAATATCCTTTTTGTTCATCATATTCAAAATGTAAATCATTATAAAAAAATGGTATATGATATTAAACTGTGGTTGGATTCAAAAAATAATACTTTAAAACAATTAGAAAGGTAAAAATATAATATTTACAGTGTTGTTATCAGTGTTATACGACACGATTACTTATCGAGCAGGGAGGAACAATAATTTCATGTATCAATAAATATGTCAATATTGAGACGAGATGTAGAATAATAAACAATCATTGATTCAATCTAAAGAAATAGTTTACATTTAGGTAACATGAATACTTATATTAAAAATACTTTGAATAAAAAATTATCAAATAATTTCATAATAAATTTTGTATAGGATATTTATGTGTGTACAATAGAATGGCATTGATTAGTTCAAAACAAAAAACCAGTATTTTTCGTTTGGTATTAATATTTATTATTATCATTTCAATTATTTTATTTTTTGCATACTACATCGTTACTTATCATAAACCATCGATTTTGTCTGGATATAAAAAACCATTGGAACTTCCCGGATATCCTAATTTTTCTGTAAATTGGAATAATAATCCACGTGGTGTTATTGTTACACTTATTCGTAGTACGAACCGATCAATCGCTCGGGTTATTAATATGATTCATTCTGTGATTTTATTTCATTCAACGAATGATAATTTTCAATATCCATTTCTTTTATTTCATGACAACAATTTTACTTTAGCTTTACGTCAACAAATTTTATCATGTGTACGTTATAATAATAAAACAATACAAATTTCATTTGTTCTTCTTAATTTCGAAACAAATGTTCAACAATCGAATAAATTCTCTAAAAGTCACCCATCTGGTTATCGTTTAATGTGTCGATTCTGGTCATATGATGTTTTTTATCATCCAGCAATTGTTTATGGAAATTATGATTATATAATGAGAATGGATGATGACTCATATTTCATAGATAAAACTAATATCGATCTTTTTCAATATATAGATCGTGAAAAATTAGATTATGCTTATCGATCATGGTATAGAGAAGATAATAATGCATTATTTATTATTGAAAAAACATTTTTAAATAGAACATTCCCGAGAGTCAATTGTATTTATAATAATTTTTTTATTATTCGATTACAATGGTTTTATAGATCGGAAGGAATACAACGATATTTACATGAATTTATTCGAGACGATTTTATACTTCGAGAATATGTGGGTGATGGATGTATTCATGCAGCGATGCTTGAAATTGATCAACGAGTAAGAGTAAAACATTTAACACAAATTTCTTATGGTCATAATTATCATATAATGTTACCCAATCAACAAAGTTATTTCTTTAATTATGTCAAAGAATTTGAGCAAAGAATACTAAATTCATGTCATCAATTAATAGTTATTTATGGTAGAAAGGCTGAAGTAAAACAAGTTACAATCAAAGAATAAAAAAATGCCAATACCTGGAAGTATTTTAAATGATTCTCATTTCACTATGATCTGTTTAGAAAGTCAACGAGAAAATTTATATTTATTTTAAGTATACTAATCATAAAATTATGTTTATGCTTGTTTTTTTTGTACTGATAATCATTGAAAATTTTATATTAATTTGTTATAAAAATAATATATCTTCTGAATGGTGATACATTAAGTAGATGATTTATTTTTTTCCATTATCATTAGGTGAAAATCGAAATTAATATAGTCGAGTGTGGGAATCAAAAGTGAATTTAATATTCACACTCAAATGAATCTTTATAATTTAGTAACTTTTGAGTCTAACCTATCGAAGTTTAAGCTTAAAATAGAATTCCAATAGCAATCAATCTAAATAAATCATTTAGTACTTTCTGTTTAAAGTAACTAACTTTAACTACCTTAGATGATATCCTAGACTATATTCAGGTCATTTTTATCTTTAATTGATCTTAATAAACATATATCAAATGAAGAAACATTATCTGCTTATCTATCAATCAGCTCGACGTCAATGAACTTCATTGACAGATACTATTTCTAAGTAGAATTATTCATATTTAATAAATATCAGAAAATAATGCCAACAAAGTATTGAGGAAAGTGATAAACTCTTTACCTGAAAATTGTTCGATAATCACCAAAATGATCCATACTTTGAACTTGCAAAACGATATCATCGTAAACAAGTGAAACGCTGCCCGTGTTCAATTGGTTCAGCGATAATACGAAACAAGGTTACGAAGAAAGAAACTTCAAGTGATACGCTTTGAATAACAGACTTGTTCGAAGAAAATAAGCAGCAGAAGTGAAATGAAATTTACAACTGCTTCGTCTCTCCCTCTTTCTCTTCTCTTGTTTGCTTAGTTGTCCATTTTTCATTGACTTCAACAGGCATGACTTTGGCAGGAATATTTTTTAAAGATAAAAAACAAATAGTACAAGAAATTCTGGAAATAAGTCTAGCAACTTTTTTTGGAGAAAAAACTCTCCCGTCTATTATATATTTTGCTTGCAACAAAACAAACTCGACAAATACCTGTTTAATTTGTATCATTAAAACCATTATTTTATGTAATTTAATTTATCACTAAATAATACTTAATGATACACAGGTCGCAATCAATGTCTATTCAATCTCTACATCTGAAGAGACCTATCAATATCATCATTGAATGAAAAATCTATGCGAAAAAGAAAACAATCTATTCGAGTTTCATATCGATAAAACGAATAATTCTAATTATTCTTTATATAATGAAGAAATTTGAATGATTTTTAGTTATTTTAAATTTCTTTAGAGAAGCAGCGTATAGAGAAACTGTTAGAAAAAGAGATATACGGTTTTTCAATATCAACATAATGAAAATGAACGTTTTTTAGGATAAAAAAAATCAATAACATTAAAAGAACATGTCTCCGGAGAAATTTTAATAAATTGTTGGCGACAATCGAAACTGTGTCCATTTATTTGTTCTATTATGTCAGTTTTTTTTATTAGCCTTTTCTTCTATTTTTGTCTTGAGGGTGCGTGAGTGGAAACAATGAAGAAATATGATATATATGACTGTATTCACACCCACACCCTCATTTTCACGATCAATCCTGTATAAGTAATAAATAAAGAGACTGATATAAAATCAGTTCATATACATATCGAAAATGCATGTATAGCGACCTCTGTATAAGGATATTTTCTTAAGGAATATATTAAATCCAATCCAATTATGTACATCAATGTCTGTCTTTCTGGCTATGACAACTTGATGTTTTTCTTGTTTTTGAAAATCGATTAAGACTACAGGAAATATATATACATGTTGATTTTGTAGTAAAAATATGATTATTTTCCTGTTCTGTTTAAGATATTGTAATAAACTAGCTATATTTTGTAAATTTTGATGGGTCGATTAGCAAAGAAAATAAGTGATGACGAAAATTTGCAATCGAATAGTCTTTGCTCTAGCCAAGATACATCATTAGCATTACTTTGTTTACCAAATGAATTGTTAGAGATGATTCTATCGTATCTCTCTTCCAGTGCTATTGTTCAATCATTTTTTGAAATAAACTCCGATCGAATATAAGCTATTCTATTAAAATATCTTGTTCACTTCGATTTTGTTCCTGTGATGATTGATACAGAACAATGGATAAAGAAATATTTTCGTAATGATACTCGATTGTCTCATTGTATTTCATCACTTCGTCTAACTGGTCGACAAATGAACATTCTTTCAAAATATAATATTCAATTGATTCAGCTTGAATCATTTCATATTATTAATATTGAAGACAATACTGTGTTATTTATTGATCTACTGAAGATAGCGCCATTATTACGTTCGTTATCCCTTGAATATTCATCCGATGACATGTCTCATGATGACACTTGTTGTTTAGCTAGAATATTATTTAATAATAACGGTGCATGGCAGCAACAACTTCAATCATTATCAATTAATAAAATTTATATTCCATTTGGTTTTCAAAGTGTACAACTGATGACTAATTTAGAACATTTGAAAATTAATATTCGATACGAAAAACAATTATTTGATTTATGTTGTTCTTTCCCTCATCTTAAATCATTTCATGTTGTTGTTCGAGATTCATCGTCTAACTCATTTGATCAATTAATGAATATTTCTAATGTCTCGAAATGTTTAAAAAAGCTGATTATCATTGGAAAATTTTCTTCTTATTTGACATTATATAAATTTATTTTAATGTATCAATCATCTTTAGAAGATTTAACATTGAAAAATATCTATCATCCAGATCTAATCAATGGTCAGCAATTACAATCAGAACTTATTAAACATCTATATTCACTTATTCACTTTCGATTTCACTTACAATTTCCAATTAAAACAGAAGAATTTCATAAGAAAAATTATTTACAAACATTTGATTGGATACCTATCATGTTTGATTCTAAAATCGATAATGAGTTAACAGTCATCACGGTTTCGTCATTTTCAATTCAGAATTGATCAATGGCGGAACAATATAAATGTGTTTAAGACTTGTTTTTTTTCTAAATGAGGGTGTGGGTGTGGGTAGAAACAATAAAGAACTATGATATATATGACTGTATTTACAAACATTTTTCCAAATCATTTTTCTCATAGAAATAAACATTATTCTTATGGATTTCCATTTTTCCGCTGAATGAGCATAGAATTCGAAGTTAAAGATACTGGTTCTTTATTCTATCTTCCGTGGAAAGCAGCATTTTTGATTTAGACACTATTTTTCCGTTGAAAATCAGCATTTCTCTCACTGATCGAAGTTTTGCCCAACCCTCTACAGTTGATATTATTCTTTTTCGTTATTTTTCTTCCAACAAGTAATTACAACATCATGTGAAATCTATGACAGAAAACAAATATTCACTCATTTAATGATAAGATAAAGAACAGTATATATAACTAACATATAAAGCTACGGAGCACACCTTTCTTCAACAATCTGCAATGGGAAATCAAACAGTCACCAACCAAACAATTGCCAATCAAACAGCCGTCAATTTCGTTACACTACCGGTAGAACTTGTCTACCGAATTCTCGATCAGCAATCGGATCTTACGATCCTATGCTCCATGGCAGGCGTATGTCAACGGTTCAATAGCATTCTAGACAGCTACGATCGGTACCAGGTAAGCTTTTTTCTATCATGATCGCCTAATTTTCATCCATTAATTCTCGAATTATTTATCATTCCTACAATCATTCACTTCTTATATTATGATAATATGAAAAATAGTATCCTGATACTTAGAAAAAGAAGTTCCTTTTTTCCTTTCTATTAAATTTCATCTAAATATTCTACGTTTCAAATTAGGTATGATGTAATAAATATACAGTGTTTAGATAAGAACGAAAAAAAGAGATAAAACATTATTATTTGCGTTTTACCTGTATGCAAGCACCTCTTTTTTGAAAATGCCATTTGAATAATAAAAATCAGCTTTTGAGAGAAATTAACCTTCGAGAAACTAGTTTGTCTTGTTATAAATAACGTCCTCGATACTTCCTTGAGAAGTACTTACGACAAATACTCCTTCAAGAGCGTGTCCAACAGAGGGTGCCGGTGGCTGTGAGTATAGCGAAAATTGACTCACGACAACAATCAAACTCATACTACCAAGATTGAATATTTCTTCAAGGAATGCGACTTCTAAAGCAGTTTTCCACCAAAAAACGTTGCATCGGAAGGGATTTCACGTGAAGCATGCTTTATTCAGGACGGAACTTCGAGCATAATTCGTCAGCCTTATTTTCTTAAATGACGTTTAGCATGCATCCACTTTCTCAAAATGAGTCTAGCATTATAGAATAAATTATTTGACTTATTTTTCACTTTTTATAAATGAATGTAGCTTTCATGAACATAACCGTATGGTTGCATCGAAATCAATATATAATCTCACTTATATAAATCGTAAACATCAAGTTCGATAACTTAAACAGAGTTTTGATGTAAAATACATATCGAGTCGGAATAATGAATGTCAAAAAACTATCTAATAACTACCGATAAAAAACTATCTTCCGTCATACCTACAGAATACTAACAAGCGCTACACCATACTTCACTACGCTATAAACCATTCACTGCAATACATTGTCATTTGGGTACATAATACGATTCTTCGCAACTGTTCTCCTCAGGAGTAGCTTACATACTACTTGTTATTAACCGACATGTATTTCCTTCTTTCCCAAACATTCACAAACTAAAGCAACACATACATAAAAACTTTCTACTCCTAGTTCACACTTGGTACCTTCTTTTAAGTCAGTCTAGATTTTCACAAAACACTATTGAACACTGTGCAGGATAAAAAACGTATAAAAGTTCTTATTTGCATTCATACACCTAACACGCCCATCAGAACAACAGTAATTTTACTGTTCTAATCGCATGCAATACTGACCACCTACTCTATTCCTTTTTTGGTATCGTGTCTTTACCTCCACTTTTTCATCTAGACATTCACCACACTAGATCTCTCGTGGAACCAAATCGAATATATTAAAGCACAATCTTTATGGAATGCATTACAACACAACAGAGTAACTCTCATTCATTTTTTATTTATGTCATGTCTTTATATGAACTTTTCATCTAGATGCTCACCACACTGATCTGGCAGAGCAATAAAATCGATGCTAAAGCAGCACAACATCTTGCAAATGCTCTACAAATCAGCAAAGTAACAACAATATTTGTTCTTCTTCCTCTTCACTTCATCACTCACACACTTTTCGCACAGACACTCACCACACTCAACCTTACAAGAAATAAAATCGGTCATGAAGGAGCACAACATTTAGCCAATGCTCTGCACATCAATCAAGTAACAGCAACACTTGTTCTTCTTCTTCTTCACATTATTTCATCATTCACACACTTTTTACACAGACACTCACCACACTCAACCTTAGTGATAATCAAATTGGCGATGAAGGAGCACAACATTTTGCTAGTACTCTA